AATAAATAAAATAAAAAAAAAATAAAAAAATTATATATTTACAGAGATGTGCGTGAACCGGAAACGGAAATTGAAAAGCTCCAACGGCGCTTGAAGGAAGCTGAAGAAAGAAATAGGCTACTGTTATTGGAAAATAAGCAGCTCAGAAAAGCATGGGAAATGAAATCCAATGATCTTGAAGCCATGAAGAAAAATGAACAAAGAATTGGCCAGGATACTGCTGCTGATATATTACATGCCGTATTTACACCGGGCCAAGTAAAAAAATGGATGGCGCCGAACGCTAAGAGAATTAAATGGTCAGCAGATGACATTTCTTCTGCTATTGCCGTTCGGTCATTGAGTGGTAAAACGTACAAATATTTACGTGAAGTTAAGCAGTTACCGCTACTTTGCGAGTCCACTCTGCGGAATTGGGCAGCATCATAGATATCCACACTTAGGAGTTCCAACGCATACATTAATTCCGTCGGGTGACTGGCTGTCTTGTATATCAAAAGGAAATTGTATTCAACTTTCAAAAGATTTTGAAAATATAGGAAAAATTATGAATGCTGAATTCTTAGCATTCCATGGTAATGGACTCTCGAGGAAATCTCTTATTTTCGACAGAGTAACGGACCGCGTGTTGAAAAAAATAAATAATTCTCTGCCAAGGAATGTGTTAGCATGTCTAGTTCGAACAAGAACATACATTCGATTAAGGCACATGAATTTAGAAATAAAAAGAAAGAATACTGCTAAAAAAGTCGGGAAAAAAACAAAACATATATGCAATAAAGTTTATATTTAAATTGATATTTTATATAAGTCTGCATTTTATTTAAAATCATTATCATATGTTATTAAATGTTATTTTAAATATAAAAGAATCACAAAAAAAACATTATTTTATTTATTCCTGTATTTTATTTTATTTGAGATTTTATTGTATTTCATTAAATATATATTTAAAATTTTACATGCTTCACGCATTTTTATTTCTTATAATTGAATTTCACTTTAAAGTGAGCGCCTGCAAAATGGGTCGCCTTCTGATTGGATCAACTGCCAAAGCTGCCGCCATTATGCGCAATGCTTCATCTTGTTTTTTATCCCATGATTTTATCTTTGTTCAACTTTTACTAAATAACAAAGATAGAATGATACTCATTGCCTTAGAACATATATAAATGGAAGGGGAATAGCAGGCTGAAAAGTGTCGAAGGAAGTGAGAAAGAAATCGTAGTTGCCTCTCTCTTGTGAGTAACTACACATATAAGCATCGTGTCTCAAGTATACATACTTTTGTGTACCACACATGGCCGCGCATGCGCACTTTTGAGCAAAGTAACTCACAAGAGAGAGGCAACTATGATTTTAATTCTTACTTCCTTCCGACATGTTTTTCTATCGAGAAACAAAGGCATTCCCCTTTCATTTATATATGTTCTAAGCTCATTGCACACGGGAAATGTTTCTGAACGCAGCCTAGCACTTAACTACCACACGCATGCTGAACAAACATGATACATCAACATGGCGGTTCCTCAGGTTTCATTAAATACGCGAAATAAAAAGCACTTTTTGGGTGTACCGGCACCTTTGGGATATGTTGCTGGTGTTGGAAGAGGGTAAATTTTTTTATGTAACATATAATTATAAATAATCGTATAACTACTGAGTATAACTATAGCAATCAAGATGCAAACATATAGTTAACCTCTCTTTCTCTCCGCAGAGCTACAGGATTTACAACACGGTCTGATATCGGTCCCGCTCGAGATGCTAATGACGTTTCGTAAGTAGAAAAATACATTTCTTATTAGAAGACAACTCGACAAATGCAACATTCTCTTACAAATTATTATTTATTTTGAATGCAGAGACGATAGACACGCTCCACCCACGAAACGTGCAAAGAAGAAGGAAGAAGAGGAAGAAGATGAAGAAGATTTAAATGATAACAATTACGATGAATTTTCAGGATATGGAGGTTCCCTATTTAGTAAAGTAAGTAAAATTATTATTTTTTTTTTTTAGTTAGGTATGTTAGAGAGATAATACTATTCTAATAATTTCAGGATCCTTACGATAAAGATGACGAAGAAGCAGATGCAATTTATGAAGCTATCGATAAACGTATGGATGAGACTATATTGAGAAATATATTTATTTTGTTACAGTGTGCTCAACAAGGGGCATTAGAATGTGCGAGAGCTGTCTACGCGTACGCATTAACGACATTTCCTAGTAAGAAATCGATTTGGCTGCGCGCAGCTTATTTCGAAAAGACATACGGAACACGAGAATCTTTGGAAGCTTTGTTACAAAGAGCAGTCGCTCATTGTCCGAAGAGCGAAGTGCTCTGGCTGATGGGTGCTAAATCCAAATGGTTGGCTGTGAGTAGACTTTACGTTTAAAATTTTAATTCGAGATAACTTTTTATTAATATCTTTTTCTCTTTTTTTTCATTTCAGGGTGACGTGCCGGCAGCCAGAGGTATCTTATCTCTCGCGTTTCAAGCCAATCCAAATTCCGAAGAGATTTGGTTGGCAGCAGTGAAGCTCGAATCCGAAAACTCGGAGTACGAGAGAGCGCGACGTTTATTGGCCAAGGCTAGAGCATCTGCTCCGACGCCGAGAGTGATGATGAAAAGCGCTAAACTGGAATGGGCTCTTAATAATTTGGATGCGGCGTTGCGTTTACTCAAGGAAGCTCTCGAAGCTTTCGATGATTTTCCTAAACTATGGCTGATGAAAGGTCAAATCGAAGAACAGCAGGGTTATTTAGACAGAGCAATAGAAACATATAATCAAGCGGTGAGTGAATGCTTTTTTACACAAATTTAATTAAGATACAACTTGAGTAGGAATAGAATATAGTAGGTGAAAAGAAGGAAGGATAAAGGTGTGATAGAAGAAAAGAGGTGAAAAGGGACTGGCAGAAGGCAGAAGGACAACAGAGGAAGGGAAAAGAAGAGAAGGGGAGGGAGACAAGGAAAAGGGTAGAAGGAAGTAAATTGTGGAAGAGGAAAGTGAGGTTAAGTGATAAGAAAGCGAGTGAGAAGAACGGAAGAGGACAGAAAGGAAACGGAAGCGACGGATCAAGGATGATGAGAGAAGAGGGGGTTAGGGGGAGCAAGGGGAGCAGTGAAGCAGGAAATTGTAGTGAAAAAGGAGGAATGGAGAGAGGAAGCAGAAGTGACAGGCAATGGAAAAGAAAGAGAGATAAGGAAAGAAAGGGAAAAGAAAGGTTTAGGTTTAGGTGCAAGAGTAGAGAGAAGGAAAAGAGAATACTGGTGGGAGGAGGAAAGCGAAGAGGAAGCGGGGGAGAGAGAAGAGGAAGCGAGGGAGAGAGAAGAGAGAGGAAGGAGTAGGGTAGGAGGAGAGAGAGAAGAGAGAGGAAAGGAGAGAGAGGAATAAGAGAGAGGAAACGGAGAGGGATAGAGGGACGGAAAGGAGAGAAGAGAGAAGATAGGGGAGAAGATAGGAGAGAAGATAGGGGGGAAAGAAGGGAAGGTGGGGAAAGGGGTAGTGGGAGGATGATGGGGGGACGAGGAAGGGGAGGGAAGAAAGTGTGTAAGGTCGCAAAGGGCCAGGTCGGGTAAAGGGTGGAAAGATAGAGGAGTTTGTAAGAAAGTGTAAAGGTTTGGGTACGTTCCGGTAAAAAACGCCTCCAAACCCTAAGGGGAAGAATAAATCATACAATTAAGATACAACTTGTAAAAGAAAAATGTCATCTTTTTTTATATATTTATATACACAGATCAAGAAATGTCCAAATTCGATACCTCTATGGCGTCTGCTAGCACAATTGGAACACAGAAAGAACCAAGTGACCAAGGCACGTTCGGTTTTGGAGAAAGCTCGACTCAAGAATTCTAAAAATGCAGAATTATGGTTGGAAGCTATCCGGAACGAATTAAAAAGCGGCGGCGGACGCGACATGCCAGATATGCTAATGGCTAAAGCGTTACAAGAATGCTCTACATCGGGCCTCCTTTGGGCGGAGGCAATTTTCATGGAACTACGACCGCAACGGAGAACTAAGAGTGTGGATGCTCTTAAAAAATGCGAACACGATCCACACGTTCTTTTAGCAGTATCAAAGTGAGTCGACATTTATTTGGAATATATACAAGTTTATATTAAGATTTATATAGAATATATGAGAAAAAAAGAGTTATGAAAATTATACAGATGTTTTTTTGTTCTAGATTATTTTGGTGTGAACGTAAGATATCAAAATGCAGAGATTGGTTTAATAGAACGGTCAAGATAGACCCGGATTTAGGTGACGCTTGGGCATATTTCTACAAGTTTGAATTATTAAATGGCACCGAAGAACAGCAGGAAGATGTAAAGAAAAGATGTATTGTCGCAGAACCTCATCATGGTGAAAATTGGTGTAAGGTTTCCAAAAATATAGCAAACTGGTGTCTAATTACAGATCAGATTCTAGTAAAAGTTGCAAAAGAGTTACCTATTCCTATATAAGATAAAAATTGCTTTTCACATTTCGACAAATTAAAATGCAATGACAAAGTATTTATTAATGTATATTAGTAACGAGTAAGTTTGTAAATAAAACTGAAAGAATCGATCAATCTTAAGCCTGCGGCACACGGTACGATTTTTCGTACTGATTTTGTTAATTGATTCGTTGCGTGCTGTTTAGCGAAGTATTCTACATGTTCCAATCATAAGAGTGTTACTGGTTTTGGCTTCACACGTGCAGATTATCTTACATGTTGGGTTAATATTTTAATTATAAGATTTCTAGAGATTTCAACAAAATTCTTCAAGACTCTAAAAATCCTCTAGATAATAGCCAATGATTGCTTATCTAGTCAAGATACGATTCAAAATATTTATTATGGAAGAATTAATAAAATTTTTAAAATTTTATTAGGTTAGGAAATCTGTCATTTTTAATTAATTATATACATATTCAATTAATATCACCATAATTATAAATAAAATACATAATTACTTATATATGTATATATAACTTTTGTCTTTATATTTATTATTATTTTTATTTTTTGCGTTTTTGTCGTAGTATCGTCTGCAGCTAGCAACAAAACCATAGTGAAATATAGCACCGAACCTATTACCAAAAACTAGCATGCTAGCACGCACAGCAACACGCAGCACATAATATTTCAAGTTGCATAGCCATTATAATTGCTAGCAAAATGTCTCGCATGCGATCTAGTATGCAAAATCGTACCGTGTGCCGCAGGCTTTAAATTAGTAAATTTCATTTCTATCTTTCTTTCGATGCCACTGCAACACAAAACGCGCATATAATTGTAACAACATTCTTTAATTAAACAATATTTTTGTCGGAACTCGCGATCATTACAAACATTAAAAACGTCTATTCTATTTCGAAATATTCGCGGTCCATGATTACGTACTGCATTTACTTTCCAAATTTCGAACGCATGATCAATGGTTTAGTTTACACCGATATATTCTAATATGTAAAATAAATACTATACTGTTCAATCATAGTCTTTCCATTCTTTAGAGAAATGGCTATAATTGGCTAGTGTAGTACGTATTAAAGTATATCGGTGTAAACTAAGCTATAATCAACAAGAAGAGAATTGATATTTATCGATATTTATTGATATTTATCATTCGAGCCTTTTCTAACTTGGTAATTTTATTATGTATTTTGAGACATAATTGTCAAATATATCCATGATATTGCAGTTGAGTGTGTTCTTTCAAGCTAGTTTTGCTTCAAAGTGCAAGATTCTTCGTCCTAATTAATCCTTCGAATGAAAATAGCGTCAAACAAAATGCATCCCTCATTGCACCTTATACAACTATATTTTTAGAAGAAATTTCAGAATTGGGCAAATATCATTAATATTGTTATGTAAAAAAGTTCTATTATTTACAGAAACTTGATCTGTAATAATTTTATTAATGAAATCAATTGTATAACAGTGATAGAATTAATCAAACTTGCGAAGCATCGAGTACAACGCGCCGCTATTACGTATAAATGTACGTATAAATGTGCCCTCGGGCACATTTATTGGTACATTTATCGAGAATGGCATAAATGTGCTATAAATGTGGTTCAGAATACGATTTTCACTATAAAGTTGCGCATTTA